AGAATTTGCAGAGAGTAAATACGAATTTTTCCTTCTCAAGAGAGAAAACTTGTATTGTATTACCTTATTTTTAAATACCTTCGTTTTCTTCATCCATTTTGGTATTTAATGATACAAAATCAAAATAAAATTCACAAAACAATCAATTTTCTTGAGAACAATTTTTTGTTTATTTACAAAACATAACAAAACAGATGATTAAATATCAGCTGATGGTACAAGAAAATTCTTACTGAGTAAATTTTCCTTGTAAGAATTTGCAAATACTCAGTAACACAACTGTCAAATCTGCTCTCTCAATTCACTCTCTTTTACTGGACTTTTGGGTAAACGAACAACATTTTGTAATAATTTGTACAAGTTCGTACAAATTATTGAGTAAACGAACGAACCTAATATTTCACATGGTTGGCAGCATTGCACATCGAATTCAAGTAGAAATTACGCACTTTGACAGTTAATCGAGACATCAGCTGCGCTAAATGGACTACCTATTTATTGCGCCATGGTTCTCACCTCTGAATAATTAAAACACCAAAAACCATTTAATTAAATCATATTATAATTTATTAAACATTTTCGTTTTAATAATTGTTGATTTTATTATTTATTTATATATAATAATAATATTTTTTATACAAAAAAGGTACTTCTTAATGACTATTATTTTGAGTATTATTCTTTTTGTTTGTTTTCCTCTTAATACATATGCATATTTTTTTGGGATAAATTCTGGGATAAATAATTAAACAACTTTGGTAATTTGTTTGTTATAATAAAAGAAAAAATATGAACAAAGAAGGCATTTTGTGTGTATTGTTTGTTTCTATATATATTTATATGATAATATTTACAAAATAATTAATAATAATTTTATGTGGTTTTGTTTTTATTAATAATAAAAGAACTATTTTACATATATTTAATATAGTAATATTATTAATAATAATATAATAAATCTTTAGTGTATAACTATGCAAGATATGTTTTAGTTTGATTTCATGTTGTTTATTTTATTTATTTTTAATATATTTTGAAAATTTTCATTTATTTTATTTATTTATTTTTAATAATTATAATGTTTGTTTTTTAATATTTTATGATAATTATATATCATATATAAATATGGCCAACTTTTTTTATTATTAAAAAACTTGTTGATTTGTTCTTGTTGTTGTTATTTTCTTTTTAATATATAATATCACAAGGAGATCAATTAAACTTAAATAATATATAATGATATTAATGGACAAAAGAACTAACGCTCAAACAAAACTTAATTGTAATTTGTGTAATATTATTTAGTTAATTTTTATCATAAAATAAAAAAGAAATAATTATAATTAAAACGAAGAAAGGCACTTTGTTTTATATTATTTTTTTCTTTTCAATTTTGTTAATTCAAATTATTAAGAAAACTGTTTATGTATTTTTTTGCAATAATAATTAAATGGTTTTCTCATTTTTTAAATGTAAAAAATAAACTATAATCTTTTTAAAAACTATATTGGCACCAAGAATTCACACACACTTGATAAAGAACAAAATGTACAATTTTTATTATATAATAATATTTAAAAAAATAGAAATTAAAAAAGAAAATTAAAATAAATTCGGATATTTGAGAACGAAAATTCATACACGAAAATGTACAATTTAGTATTATTATTAATGAAGTAGAAAGAAAATAAAATAAATTATTTGAAGGAGGAATTTTTTGGAAGGAATTTTTGTGTAGGAATTGATCTTCGACCATGGTTTATTCATAAGGTCGTCCGATAAGGCCAGTTGATTTCAATTTCGATTTAATCGTATGAAAACGTAAACAAAAAATTTAAAAGTATGGGGGATTTTCAATCAAAATTGCCAATAATATTTGCTTTTTACACGACCTGTTTAATGGGCCTTGGTCTTCCACAAAGATAGTCCCCTCTTTCCGAATTTGAAGCTGGATTGTTATTTAAAAATCACATTAAAAAATCTACATCCAAAGCTTAGATAGTTCCTTATAATTTGTTTTAATCCTCGCCTAGACCTCTAATATTTGTTTATAAAAATGTCCATAAAATTCACGCCTAGACCTCTGATATTTTTTTTTTTTATAAAAATGTTCTTAAATATAGCGGCTTTTGAATTGTCCATATAAAATCCACGTTTAGTGTTGGATGACTGATTATAAAATTTACTTTAAAAATCTAGGTCGAAAGTTCGGATAACTATCCTCAAAAATGCAAGCTAAGAGCTCTGACAGTAGTTTAAAAAAATTATTTAAAAATACAAGCCTAGAGCTCAGACAGAATCTTATAAAATTTGGAATTTGTTCACGTTTTTAAATCCTGAGAAGCAGCTGATATCAAGCTGGTCTCCCTGGAGGACTATTTTAATAGGCCTTAGTTATCATTAATGGAAATCAATACACAATGCTCGATTTTGACAGAAATCTTGAGAAGCAGCTGATTATAACTAGCTAGTCGCCCTGGATGACCTTATTAATAGGCCTTAGCTTAAGGCTCTGGTAGATGTTTAAAAATATGCCTAGAGCACGGATACTTGTTTTCAAAAGGCTTGCCATGAAAAATAAACATAGAGCTCGGATGTCGACTTAAAAAAATTACGTCTAGAATTCGGAATTGGGATAGGTAGTGTTTATAAAATGCCCTTAAATTCCACACCTAGATATTGTATAATTGACTATAAATTTCCATAAAAATCCAAGCCTAGAGCACGTATGACTGACTATACAATTTTCTTTAAAAATCACCACCGATAGATTGATTAGTTTTTGAGCCAAATAATTAGGACAAATGGTAAAAAATTATTGGAGTACTACTGAAAGTATTAAACAGTGATGGTCTCCATATTGAACTATGATTAAATATTGGATGTTCCCAAACGAAACACTTCAAGGAATTCTTTGCCTTAAGGAAAAATCAGTTCTAGGTCCGTTTCTCTCTGTTCTCGTTCACCATGTTCCGGTTCTTTCGTTCATCTAGTTCCGTTTGCTTATTTCATTTTTCTTCTTTAGTCCGAGATCTTTTCGTTCATTGGCCGAATTAACTGACGTGTACCAATGAACGATTGAACTAAAAGGAACTATTGAACTAAACCAGTGTTGGGCAAAATTAAATTGAGAGCAAGTTTGTACGAGCGTAACTGAGAATTCACCATTAAAAACGACTAACGTAAAGAGAAAGAAAGAGAAAATATGTTTACCAATCGACCCTTTGTTACGGTAGCGTATATAGGTAAGCATGCCTGAACTAAACAATTCACCTAGTTCCTTTTTCAGAGCGAACTGAAAAATTCCGAACAGCTTCAGGAACGAGATTGCTCCCACTCCATAATGACATTACACACTTCTAACTTTACTACCGAAGTTTCGAATGATTCGCCCGTCATTACACTTGAGGACGTCAACGCGAGCCTAGAGAGACAGACGGAACTTCTCCTCAATTTAATAGAGAAAAATGAAACCCAAAAGGGTACGAGCAAGATGCCATGAATTCCACGGTGTTGAACATAACCGAAATACTAAAGAATCCCCCAAACTCGATGCCGATAAGCGAGATGCCAAGATGACATTGAGCTGAATTTATTTGGGATACCATTTGTATTTTGTTTTTGCAAAATAGTCAGGCTGAATTGCCGAAGGGTAAGGCCTGCCTTCCCTGCCTTACCTCTCGGCAAACAATGCCATACATTCCCCACTAATAAATAGTTGTTTTTTATAAAAACAACAAACTGAGATTCAGCCTGAATATTTAGCAAAAAAAAAAAAAAAATTGAACATTGAGAATTGAAGGCTTTCAAGATATGAAAGTAAGACAAATTTCTCATCTTTTCTGAAGATTTTTTCTATAGATAAAAGAGTCATCAGTAGACCTGGGGAATGGAAACATTTTTTCTATAGAAAAAATCCACAGATCAATGAGGACTCTTTTTTCTTTGGAAAAAATTTCCTTAGACTTCTGGGGATTCTTTTTTCTATTGAAAAAATTACGCAGTGAATTTGGTCAGCAGATCGGTGAGCGTCCTATATCCACCTTAGCGGATATAATTACAATGGCGCCCAACAATATTGCTGCGTTGCTAGTATGATTATATTCGTCTACTTGAAGCCTAGCTGATCGACCGTGTATACTAAATAAATGATGATTCATCAGCACATATCAAGCAAATGTATCAATACCAAGAAAGTATTCGACAAGAAGATCTACCGGAGAGCAATAAATACCGGCAACCGATTCATCGAGCTGGGCAAGAAATTCTTTCAAATCTCATAGAATCTCAAGTGTCTTCAAGGTGCATTTACGAGGATAGTGCCCGAATAGTGCTGTGAGAGACTTCTTGATGGAAAGAGTTGCTATCCTGGCTCAACCAGCGACTATGGCTGGGTATGCAAACTAAGAGTACTATAAATACGACTGGGAAAATATAGTCTGGGATCTCTAATTCATTGGAACTTGCATGTCGAGAGATCAATCAAAGGTATGTAAGGTGTGTCCAGGTGCGCTTGGGAGAATATCCTGACATTTAGGGGATTTCTACAATGTAAAGTTAGAAACGATTAATTTAACATTCAGCGGGATAGAAATGTTTCGGCATTTATTTGATTGATTCCTGATTGGAGTGATTTTACAAACTACAAGGGATGTTCGATAAGTCACGGAAGGGTTCCGAAGAGTTATTTTTGATAAATTATAAAGTTTACTTTAAGTCTTAAATTAAAGCAAATCTAATAACAACACATCCTCCTTCTAACCTAAAAAAAAAAACAAGAAATATATACTTCAGGTTCTCGTATTAAAAAAAATCCTAACCTCTACTTTGTTTTGCGATAAAATAAATAACTAACGAACGAACTAAAAAATCGAAATGCTATAATATTCGAAACCATTTGAGCTTTGCACATATTTGTCATTCAGTGGCACTTCTTCTTCTTCTTAAGACTACGAAATATATTTGTTACTCCAGAAACCCGCTAATATCGTTACCACTACCATCAACACCAAAAGCTGTGAACTACAGCTCTTCCAACAGGGTATTGCGGAATTTTCAATGCTGGGATCTAACATATTGGACATGGTCAAACCGGATAATATTAAATTTGTGGTAATTTTATGCGACTGTGCAGTTATCAGCGACGATAGCTTTTCCGCTTCGCGAATGCAGGCTTCAATTTGCATGCGATTGGGTGTTGAAGCCCTCGGTACAATCGCCACAAATATACCCACTTCCATGGTGAGGAAACCTGTTAACTGACATTCGGTAACCTGTATAAGGCTATCGAGTTCATGTAGGACACTACGTAAAGTCAGCAAATCTTTGTGTTGCCCCCGGAGGGCATAGAGAGCTCGATCGATTTGTTTCCGAGAATAGATAATACGAAATGCTGATGCACATAGGGGACAACAGGCTCCCGGTGGCGTTATGGCTTGACAGTAGGGGGATGGTAAATCGGGACATTTAACTTGACGACAACGTTTCCTTTCCAAATCATGACTCAGTAGACCGACTTCACGACAACGTCCCTTATAATCGACGAGAACATAATCGGACCAGGCAGCACATTCACTGGGATAATTAACGCCGTTGATACCGCACACTGGACCCTTCCAAGAACAGCCACGATTACAAGGACCCCAATGGGCAAACGTCGATTTGGCATTCACTAGATCACAGGCTGATTTGTAGGTCATACCCTTGGTATCGCAAACCGGTTGATCGGTGTCTTCACATGGCAGCGTTTGGTTAACTGGAAGAGAAGATACATTTAAATGTGAAATGATTCCGCATCGATTCGAATTCCAAATACTTACCACATTTGTACTGTAAACATGGCCTATGCATGGAGGATAAACAAATTTGCCTATGTTCGACACATTGCGTGCCAGCCGGACAATGATATGCACCGGGAGCACATGGATTCCATACGGAACAGGCACCGAAATCTAAATCACTATCCTGTAGACCCAAACAACGTGCAATACACAAAGAGGGATAAGTGCGACCATTGATGCCACACACCGGAACATAGTGTGTGGGACAGTTGCAGGGTAAACTGGTATAGGAGACATCCGTGTAACCTATAAAAAAATCATAAAATCAATTAATAAAGGATCAACAGGGCTAATGGAGTAGATAAAAAAATTATAAAAATATTAATGCTTTAAAAACACGAACATAAGACCAATTCATCAGCTGCTTTGAGGATTTTTTCTATAGTAAAAAGAGTCCTCGGGAGGCCTGAGGAATGGAAACATGGACATATAACCAAGTCATCTATGTTCCTCTTACAAATCATCGCTCACTGACCTTCTGGCCAAATTTATTGAGAATTTTTTTCTATAGTAGACGAGATCGATAACAATCAACTAGCAATATTGTTGGGCGACATTGTAATTGACCCCATATCCGCTGCGGTGGATATGGGGTCAATTGCAAATTGTTTTTAAAAAAGCCACGCTCACAGAGCTGCTGGACAAAAAAGGTGCCTCAAACTACAACGGATTCTTTTTTCTATAGAAAAAAATAAACAGTGAATTTGGCCAGCAGGTCTGTGAGGAGCCTTTTTTTTAGAAAAAAATACCTCAGACCACTTAGAATTTGCCCAAAATTTTACAAAGCCCCGCTCAGAGACCTTGCTGCAAATGACCCCATATCCACCGCAGCGGATATAATCACAATGGCGCCCAACAGTGTTGCTGCGTTGTTATTAGGATTGCTATCGATCGCGTCCACAGGTGGTCTAGTGGTATGTCTAGTACACTTGTTGGGTAACTGCGAATAAATATGCAGTTTCCGACAGAAGTTCTGTGTGATAATGACCTATTTATTTGTCGACAAAAAGCCCATGTAGAGAACCGAGAAGGCGTTTCTTACGAATAAGGAAGCACCATAAGGTAGTGAGGAAGTACGAAAGAGACAATCGGAATAAGGCCTCAAGGGAAATCCAAGCCGACAGAATTCACACCTTGAATTCATGTCTCGATTGGTTACCTCTATCGAGACCTCCACCAAGGTTAATTTTAAGAGTAACCACAATATTCTAGCAGAACCCATGATAGGTACAAGCAAGATGCAGGAACGAACGATATGTCGACATAAACCGCAGTTCGATAACCGAAATTAAATTCTTACGAATTAGTAAGCATTTTAAGGTAGTGAGAGAAAGCGCAAAATAGACTATCC